GTGTTTCAATATATACGTGACCGCGATATATCAGTGAGCAGCATCGTGTCGTGATGTGGGATCAGCACAGTTTTTTTTTACGTCGCATTTGCCCTGGATTGGCAAGGATTACGAGATCATTTACCGAACTTGCTCCATTTAATACATTTCTGATAAGCTGATGTTACGTTAGGGTTAGGGTTCGTATATAGATTGCACTTGTATCTTTTGGTAGGAGTGGCGCCGTTGTCGATAATGCAAAAAGGGGTTTTTACAACGACGCATCATGCAGTAGGCTGAGGCACGAATGAATATGCCGGATTCTACGCACATGGATAGCTTGGCTGCATTCATGTCTCTGACTCGGGAACCAAGTGATAAAACGATGGTCGCAATCGAAGAGCGCAATTTCTTCAAGGGACATGTGTGCGGCAAGTTCACATAGTTGCACCTGGTAGGGAGGAAGTTAGCATGGCTTTGTACGTCAGAATGTTTGAGTTCGAGGTGAGTACGAGGGTTCAGTATACTGTCCATGTACTGATAGATATCAGTAAACGTGTTGAACTGTCTTGGCATCTTTGAATGCCAAAAACGATTCTTCCTGCGTAGGAAGATTGCTGAGGGTAGGCCTTCATACTATGACACATATCTTCCTTAGTCTCATAGAATACTATTGGTGTACCTTGTCCGACTTTCTCACTGTGAGCATCCGGGGCGTGAGTGTGGTATTCCCTCCGTTTGCGCACCATTTCGTCTGGGGATATCGGCCGAGTTGTGCTGAATTTATTGACGATATGTTTCAACTTGCGAAAGCTGCGTATTGAATGTTATTTATGAGATTTGCGCTTGAAGCTGTTGGTGAAGACTTAGAACCCGTGACTAGGGTTTGTTCTGATTCGGCAGGCTTAGCGTGGGCGCTTGGCGGGTTGTTAGGGGGTAACGATGCAGCGTGGGGGTCGAGTAAGACGCTGATGGCTGGGCTGTTAGAAGCTGTCTCGTACCATATACTCTACACGGATATGTATTTTTTTGTACTTTCACAAGCGACAGATGGTTTGCAGCCGTAAAATTTCGACCAACAGGCTTCAAGACATTGATTTAACCCACGTCAAAATTTCTTAGAAAGAATAACTACAATATTTTTTGTCAATATATAAACATATCTATATACATGTAAAGAGATTTCCGAGAGTTTAGAGGGTTTACGGTAGTTTTGAAAATAGTTTTATAACCCGATAATTGCTTGAGGGTCGATCAAGAAAAGTGTTCTGTAGTCGATGTCTACAATCTAAATACCTAGTTCTGTTTCAAGAATTCGACAATGTCTTGTTCGACAAACTCGATGATGGAACTGGTATAAAAATATTAACTCAATTGGAGGCTACATCACCGAATAGAAGTCAAGGCAAAATATCGTAAAAATACAAATATTTTGGAATGAAGGAGCACATTAGAACGCTGGGGTAAGTAGGCGCAGTGCATCCTATGTGCAGAAAATGTAGATTATGGAGAGGGAAAACGAATGAAGCAAAGCAAAACTATAAAGGGGGGGGGCATATGTTCAACAGCAAATAAAGTATGGCGAAGGTAAGTGCGCGACCAGCTTCGGAAAAGAAGTACAAGCTACTGAAAGTCCGGAATAGTAAATTAGAGAGAGAAGCTAACGAGACCAAACAATTGTAAAGTTTGCGATAAGAAAAGTATACAAGAAGGCGAATGCATGAATTTTCGAAACGGAGAAGAATCGCTTTGTGAAATCGAAACGAAGTAGCACTCAAAAGAATGATTAAAAATCACTACAGTAAATAGACTATTAAAGAAGAAGAGATAAAATTCGAAAGCTAGACAGTAGGCGGATGAAAGGTAGCAGGCGTTCAAAGATTGTTGAAAGTGGAAGACGAACGAGGGTTGCTCAGTCGATGTCGTTTAACATGAGCTAGCACGCCAAGGTGAAAGTAGCTCGGAAAACGTTCAGGTAAAGCAAAACAGCGAAAGTGGACAAAAATTTAGTCTCGAGAGTAGAGATGAGGATAAAATTGGTGGGAAGACGAACAGTCAGCACCACTAAGTCAAGAGGGTGAGCAGACAACAGAGCGAGAAAAAGTGTAAGAAAAGTAGAGTATAGAATATGGGGTGGGCACAAGATGACAAGGCAGAGATATGCGAGCAGCAATCCGACGAGGAAAAAGTAATATAAAGCCAAAACCGCAATCAAGCCTGCCAAAGGATTCACACCTACATATAGAAAAGGAATTGAAGTATTTCCCACTGTCTATGAGCCCTCTATAAAGCCTGCAAGATATATTACAGCGCATTGCAACTCTTTTATAATAGAGCGGAATGCACATTAGAACTCGGGAATAGTGAGGACAACGCGTCCTTTGTACAGAAAATACAACCTACCAAGAAGAAGAAAAGCAAACAATGAAACGAAACAAACCGATAGAGCGGAGCGAAAACCAAAATTCACGCACCCATATAAGAGCAAGTATGATATAGAATAATTCTAGAGATGACCTGCATACAGATCACCGTCCAAGTCATGTTTGCGGACATGGACGTATTTTTACGGGGATGTACACGTAGTTATAAACTACAAAGGGGATTGGAAATCAACATCAGGCCACAAACGTCATAACTGTATGAGATACCCATGCATATCTGCGTGAAGAAAGAGCCAGACTGAAGGACTCAAGCTAGCAGCAACTGGCACTACATATTGTTGATTAGCTATCTTCGATGTGACAACTCAATCAATGGTGTATTCAACACCCACAGCAGGAGTTCAAACATCATTTTAAAATGAAAAAAGATGGATCAAGAATATTCATTCAAGTATCATCCAGGTTCTCAGGACGACACTTGATGCGCTTTCACTGACTTTTGTGCACAAAACATTCTCGGCATATGTCGCTCTCTTCGTCGTATCTTCGTATCTCAAGCGCAGTATAAGATGGTGTTGATTACACGATATCCAGAATAGATTCTCTTTCGTAAATTCATAGTGCACGATGACGGATTGTGCAGGTAGTCACCACTCACAACCGAGCACCTGGGTGTACCACAATACATGTCTTCGGAGAATAATACAGCTGTTTCATCACATGGAGCCCATATATCCCCATATGCACTACCGGAAACGCACCAACGTGTGTTGGTGAGATATACGTGCCCAGGCGTCTGTTTATCCGCAATACACTATCTCGCTCGGGCACGCTCGACAATACGACCCTACTATTATCATCTGTCAGCAAAGTACTAGATGAAGTCCAGGCACAGGTTGCAATATATCCCACATTGCATTGGTACCGTTATCTCTATGTTAACTTTAGTAATTTTGAAAACCCGGGAATCAATCCAAACAGATTTTGTATATATGTACAATACATTTGATCAGATTTTAAATATATGTACAGTACGGTGTCGCTTTAGCACTTTACCCACGTAAAAATGCCTCATATACAAATTACTCCAATGGCTACACGTCCTGTGGACGGGGATGGCATCGACAAGAGATTGAAATGTATTTGAAGGTGCTACATTATTTCAAGGTACTATAGTAAGTAAAGGTGGTATATATATACAGACACCGGTATAATATATATATAGATATAGATATATATAATTATAAATATATATATATATATATATGGCAAACTAAAATGTCGTGATACATATCACAATTCGTTAGAACAGGCAGATATATATAGTTTCACCGGGTGTGGGGTGCCCGGTTTTGCCCCGCAAGGCCAGATTTAGTATTTTAATTGTTAGTTTTCATCTAAAGGGTAGGGCGCCGGCGCCACGCGGGCGGCCTCACGTTAACTATGGCCAAACTAAATACCTGTATATAACAAGAGTGGGCCCAACGTATGGAGCTGACACCAATCAGATGCATCAGTACCGAACTGCTCATAATAATATTTCGGAAAGAAATCCCAGCAACTGCGGTGCCCCTTCGCACTTGCAACACGTAGCCATTGGCGTAAACGCCACGCACAGTTGTTGCTCAGGGAGCCCTGAACGGTTACGATTGCACAGGAAACGGAAAGAAATCCTAGCACTTGCGATGCTTCTTCGTTCTTGGACCGCGAGCCATTGTCGGTAAGGCCACGCTCAGATGTCTTAGTTCAGCAACCTGGGCATAGTGTATGCCTATCATAATTCTCCTACTAATATCACCTCCATACACGCATACCGGCCTCCTAGTCACAGCCATCTTGCTTGCTTGCGAGAGTATCAGGAATTATCGCAATGCCCCAGCGTATTGTCGGCCGGCTCTATATCCACGATTATGTGAACACCTCTGAATACGTACCAGGCTCATACACGCACGGACATTGCTATTCACGTGACTAGTCATAATCATCATCGTCGTCGTTGCTGAAGTCCCTGGATCTCTTAATAGCCCCCATCGTGAACCCGGCGGGTGCTTGACCACTGCCGTTGTACGCATTCTCGACTGCATTCGCCGCTACCTGCACAGAGATAGCCGCGGGTGCGGGTTTCTTGAACTTGCCTGCCGCGGTCTGTGCAGGCTTGTCTGTCGAACTACTTGCACCTGTACTTGAGTTTGTAGCTGCGTTCGTGGCTGTGTTTGTGGTTGTGGATGTGGCTGTCTTGGGTGGTTCGGTTGCAGGGATACCCTCAGCGTTGTAGTCGTTCTGTGGAGTTGAATATCAACGAGCATTGAGGTACGGGAACATTTAGAATGTATGATAAGCTGAGAATATGTATCAAAGTCGTATTATACCGTACATGAAGTATACAATTGGATTAATCCTACGTTAGATCTCGATTCTGACACAGGATTTGGGCGGTTATGTAAACTGCGATGGCAGCCCATGCTACCTGAAAAATTTATCAGGAAATAGCCAGACATGCAGTTCATACCACCATAAACTCTCAAGACAAGCATGCGAACGGGTACATATATATATATACATATATACACGTATACATATACATATATATATACACACACACACATATATATATATACATACACACACACACACACACACACACACACACATTATATATATATATATATATATATATATATTTACACACACACACACACACACATATATATATATATATATAATTATATATATTGTACATTGCAGCATGTATTGTAATGTACGTTTTGTAGACACCATGGAGTGGAATATATTAGGATGTGAATACAAATGCACGTAAAACTAGAGGTACCCGATAAACAATGATTGGCTTGCGAGATAAAACAAAAGGAAAACTAACGAGGTACACAATCGTGGGTTGGTGTTGAGCGCGTAAAGGTCGCTGGTGAGTGCTGTCGTAAATCTCGAACTTAAAAACTGAAGGATTCATATGTTCATCACTCTATTATATCGTCTGCAGTAATAAGTGAGTACACATAAATGAGATAACGACCACGGCCGAGTGTACTTCTAAAGTGCCCAGCCCACACACGTATGTACATATAGACAAAAGCATACCTCGTCAATGTCCACTTGGTAGTTGACAGCCGACAGGCAGTATCTCTCCGGAGGCAGACGGATGCCCGGTCGTTGACTCACAGAATGGAGTGGATTGGCGTTCCTGGCCTGTGCAAGCTCCATTTGGAACTACGGGGTTGTTTGTGGGAATGCAAGGTGGAGATGCTGAGACTTGCATAGTCAGCGGTAGGACGGCTAAGAAAGCAAACCCCGGATCATTTCACCTATCCATAGATAGATAAAAGTAAACACTCCCGAGGATCGGAGATGAATGAACGGGAGAATATGTGCAACACGGGGAGGCCAGATAAAATCTCTCTCCAAATGAGGGACAATCATATTTGATTGCACACTACAAGGCCTAGGCGGCGTGTCTCAATCGTTGCGGTTTGTGCTGTTTAATTCACATTGAATATCGCGCTCGCTCCGTCCTGTTCTTTAAGTAAGGGGTGCAGACACTGGACACTACGCAGTACTGCGTAAGCCAAGAGCTCTATGTAAAATACAGCTTACATTGCGGGCCGATGTTATGTAGCTAGAAGTGGTGTAGAATCCAGGTAACGATATACAGACAAATAAACGAACATATGAGAATACATATAAATACATACAAACATATACATATACATATACATATATACACACACATATATATATACATACAAACATACATACACACACATATATATATACATATACATATATATATATATATGCATACTATATATATATATATACATACATACATTTACATATACATATACATATACATATATATGTACATACATGC